CATGTTGGTGTCTGTTATTCACACATGTATTACGATTTCCAGATAACACAATTATAGCATGAATAAAGACAATTATCATGAACAAAGAAATATAATAATAATGCTTTTATTATTGCCTCTAGGGCATATTTCCAACAATCGACTCATGTGATGATGCAGGTGCATAGATCATAGATGGCGAAGAAGTGCTATGCCAGGAGTATATATACGACAAGTAGCCGGAGTGTCAGGCCCTTCCGGTTTCCGAGCGACAGGCAGTAGTTAGTTTAGAGGTTCACGCTAATGCGAAAGAGGGATACGAACTCATGTTCTCAAAGTGATAGCTCTTCTCGCGTATATCATTGTTTAGATGGATGACAATGTATTTGCATATCATTCGAGACTTGTATCGCTATTTTCGAGATGATGACGAGAGACCACTTTGTGTTGGATGATGATTATGATGATGACATGATTTGATGAGACTAATTATATGTATATGCTATGATTACATTTGTATGTGTATGATATGCTAAAGATTATTGTATAAAGCCTATTCAAATACAAAACAAATACAAAACAAATATGCAGGAAAAAAACTAATAAATAAACTAGTAGTAGTGAGGGGGGAAATTTAGCAGTAGCGCCGCATTGTCAGTAGCGTGTCCCAGCAAACAGCGCTGTAGATAATATCAGTAGCGCCCTTTCCCAAAGAGCGCTACAGTTATTCATGTATAGCAGTAGCGTGGGACAACCGGCGCTACTGCTATACGTTAGCTGTAGCGCCCTATTAGTAGCGCCGGTGCCCGCGCTACTGAGAGGCCCAAAACCCTCGCTGCTAGTAGGCTTTTCCCTAGTAGTGGAAGGGGATCGAAAAAATTGCAACTTCTCTAATAAGTCGCTAAGACACCTGCCCACGGTGGGCGCCAACTGTTGTGGATCTAAGACTAACAGTAGAATAGGGGGTAAGTATGATGAGGCAAGATCCTAGCTATGGAGGAGTTGTACACACGAGTTTTATGAGTTCAGACCCTTCTCGGAGGAAGTAACAGCCCTACATCTCGGTGCCCTGAGGCGGTCGACTGGATTATATGTGTGTGCGTTTACAAAAGTGCGAACCCTTGTCCCAGAGGAGGAGGGTGGCTTATATAAAGTGCGCCAGGACCCCAGCTTCCCTCCGTTACACAGGGTTCAATGTTCATAAAGGAGGGGCATTACTGGTAACGTCTGCAGTAAAGTGTTATAAATGCCCATAAAGCTATGGTTTAAGTCTTGACCATTGCAGAGTGGAGAGCTTCTCATCTTTTGGTGGTCGAGTGTCTTCAAGGTGGTCGAGTGAGCGCATCTTCATGGTCGAGTGGACAATGGTTTCTCTTCGACTGCTTCTGATTCTTTGCAGAGATGTCCTTGGGGAGGGTATGTCGGACAGGTCCATGATCCTACCCTAGGTACATAGCTTCATCAGCTGGTGGGTGGCCCTCCTCTGTTACTTCTTGCGCTCGGTATTTTTTATATATTCTGGAAATAAGTTCCGTGAAATTTCAGGACTTTTGGAGCTGTGCAGAATAGGTCTCTATTATTTGCTCCTTTTCCAGCCCAGAATTTCAGCTACTGGCATTCTCCCTCTTTATGTAAACCTTGTAAAATAAGAGAGAATAGGCATAAGTATTGTGACATAATGTGTAATAACAGCCCATAATGCAATAAATATCGATATAAAAGCATGATGCAAAATGGACGTATCAAAGACGTATGACTACATCAACCGCATTGTCATAATGCTTCCGCTTACGGTCTACGAGGGTACGTAGACAACACTCTATCCCCTCTCGTTGTTATACATCACCTAGATGGATCTTGCGTGTGCGTAGGAAAATTTTGAAATTACTATGTTCCCCAACACGTTCATCCTCATCCATTCGGGGATTTTTGTTTCTTCGCACCGAACGTTATTCAGGAGATTTGTTAGCATTGAAACGACACCGTCTGCAACAGCGCATCTCCCACTGAAGCTTGTGTCCCTAGCCGAGTGCTCGAGGAGGGCAATGCTCGATGCACGGTGGGCATGTTACGTATGCGGTGATCTGCGGGGCTTCTTTTGAGGAGTTGTTTGTTTGGAGGGTTGTCGGCTGCTTTTAGTCCCGTGCACGGTTGGTGGCAGTGTTTTGTAATGCGATGTTGTTGTGTGGATGGCTTACATACCATTCTTTCGCTTTGATGCACGATGCACATGTTGAACAGCACCCACGAAAGGATTACGACTCCACCATGCTCATCCTCATCCATTCAGGGATTTTTGTTTCTTCGCATCAAACATTATTTGGGACATTTGGAAGCATCGAAACGACACCGTCTACAACAATGCATCTCGTCTTGAAGCCCACGTCCCCAGTCGAGCGATGAGGAAGGCAATGCCTCATGCACGGTAGGCATGTTATGCGGTGACCTACGAGGCTACTTTACAACGTTGTTTCTGTGGAGGGTTTGTCGAGTAGCTACTTTTAGTCCGGTGGGCGCTTGGTGGCAGCGTTCGTAATGAGGTGATGTATCGTGGATGGCTCACATACCATTCTTTCGCTTTGATACATGATACACATGCTTATACATATTTTAGAAGTATGCTTTTTTCTACAAGAATCTAGATATAGTTAGTTCTCACATCATGGACGGCACCCCGCGAAAGGATTACGACTCCACCACACTCATCCTCATCCATTCAGGGAATTTTGTTTCTTCGCACCGAACGTTATTTGGAAGCATCGAAACGACACCTTTTGCAACAATGCATCTCCTCTTGAAGGGTTTGTCGACTAGCTACTTTTAGTCTGGTGATCCGCGGGGCTTCTTTACAGGGTTGTTTGTTGGAGAGTTTGTCGAGTAGCTACTTTTAGTCCGGTGGGCGCTTGGTGGCAGCGTTCGTAATGAGGTGATGCATCGTGGATGGCTCACATACCATTCTTTCGCTTTGATACATGATACACATGCTTATACATATTTTAGAAGTATGCTTTTTTCTACAAGAATCTAGATATAGTTAGTTCTCACATCATGGACGGCACCCCGCGAAAGGATTACGACTCCACCACACTCATCCTCATCCATTCAGGGAATTTTGTTTCTTCGCACCGAACGTTATTTGGAAGCATCGAAACGACACCTTTTGCAACAATGCATCTCCTCTTGAAGGGTTTGTCGACTAGCTACTTTTAGTCTGGTGATCCGCGGGGCTTCTTTACAGGGTTGTTTGTTGGAGAGTTTGTCGAGTAGCTACTTTTAGTCCGGTGGGCGCTTGGTGGTAGCGTTCGTAATGAGGTGATGTATCGTGGATGGCTCACATACCATTCTTTCGCTTTGATACATGATACACATGCTTATACATATTTTAGAAGTATGCTTTTTTCTACAAGAATCTAGATATAGTTAGTTCTCACATCATGGACGGCACCCCGCGAAAGGATTACGACTCCACCACACTCATCCTCATCCATTCAGGGAATTTTGTTTCTTCGCACCGAACGTTATTTGGAAGCATCGAAACGACACCTTTTGCAACAATGCATCTCCTCTTGAAGGGTTTGTCGACTAGCTACTTTTAGTCTGGTGATCCGCGGGGCTTCTTTACAGGATTGTTTGTTGGAGAGTTTGTCGAGTAGCTACTTTTAGTCCGGTGGGCGCTTGGTGGTAGCGTTCGTAATGAGGTGATGTATCATGGACGGTTTACATACCATTCATTCGCTTTGATACACGATACACATGCTTATACATATTTTAGAAGTATGCCTTTTTCTACAAGAATCTAGATATAGTTCTCACATCCTTGACGGCACCCGCAAAAGGATTACGACTCCACCACACTCATCCTCATCCATTCATGGATTTTTGTTTCTTCGCACCGAACGTTATTTGGAAGCATCGAAACGACATCGTCTGCAACAATGCATCTCCCCTTGAAGCCCACGTCCCCCAGTCGAGTGCTGAGGAAGGCAATGCCTCATGCACGGCGGGCATGTTATGCGGTGATCCGCGGGGCTTCTTTACAACGTTGTTTGTTGGAGGGCATGTCGAGTAGCTACTTTTAGTCCAGTGAACGCTTGTCGGTAGCGTTCGTAATGCGACGATGTAGCGTGGGCGGCTTTTATACTCTTTTGCTTTTCATCTTTAATATACATTTACAGTATTATGTATGACACGCATATGTAAATATATCTTTTTTCAAGTATGATAATTCTCATCCAGGTGAGAAGTAAGCAAGTTTAATCTAGTCTTCACTTTACAAGAAACCCATGGATAGTTCTACCCACGAAAACCCTGCGCTCTACATATTGGATGTAATAAGATCTTAATCATCTTCTCGAGGTAAAAATAAAGGAGCATGGTAAACATGTTTTCTTCCTCTTTTGGCAGCATTGGCGTGGCCAGCATTTTTCTCTCGCAAAAGATCCCCTCCGGGTGAAAAAGGAGCTCCACAGGATAATAGTAATAATAACAAACCATCTGCCAAGAAAAGAAAGAAAAAGAAAAAACGCATGGCCCACCGGGGGCTCAAACCAGCACGTGTTCCCCCCGGCCTCTCGTCCCTCGACTCGGATAAATACCTCC